CGGCGTCCAGGTGAGCGAAGATCTGCGGGAAGCCGGGCTCGTACTCCTCAGCTGCTTCGCGAAGCCCTGCAGAGCAGCGGCCTCCCGAATGGCGGCGAAGCGCAGGCGCGGGCTCTGAACGCGCGAGCGTGCGCGCGGCCGCGGGACGGGCAGGCGGGGACTGACGGGAAATGAGTTTGGCGCCGCGCGCCCTTCCGCCCGGGCCAATCAGATCGCTGATCGCCGGGAGCATCTTTGCCGAGAATGCGTCGGCAAGTAGAGCGGCCCGCCCTGTCCCCGGAGGTGACGTGTCTGCCGCCCTCTCCAGGAACTACCTCACGCAGCCCCTGGGGCCACACCTCTGGCAGTGCCCGCGCGTTTGCGCGGGGTGGGAGAGGGGCCCAACTGTCCAGACCCGAGCGGTCAGAGCGGGCAATCGCCCTCCGTCTCCTCCCTCCAGGTCGAGGGGCCGATCACCGGCCTGAGGCCGCCCAACCGAGAAGATGCCGCACAAGGAAGAGCTCTAGGGCTTCAGATTCGTAACCCGCAGGCAGGGGTAGAACCTGTTAGGGTAAAACAAGCAGATCCTCACCGGCGTTCCCGCCCGTGTCAGAGCAGGTTCCCCTGTGTGAGCAAACGGTATTGCCTCCAGGTGTACCTGCGTGAGCAAACGGCATCTCGCCAGGTTATCGTGCGTGAACAAATGCGTCTCCAGGTTCCCCTTTGTGAGCAAATGGCATCGCCGCCAGGTTCACCTGTGCGAGCAAACGGCATTCACTCGACCTCAGTTGCGGGCATCTTCAGTCTGTTCTACTGTTCTTTGCTGTAGCCTTTTCACGCCGAATTTAATATCCTGCATTCTTTAGTTTCTGGAAATAATCCGACTTCTAACGTTTATAGAGTAACAGGTGCATTTTAGGAAAATTTAAGATTTTTTTATAGCAAAGTGACCCATTAATTTTGATTAGATTTAATAGCTTTAAAAGAAAACTTTCCCTGTAACTAAAGGTTTTAAAACTTTTTTTTTCCACTTGTGCTCCATGGACTCTTCCTGGCTTGAAGCACCTGCCTGGGCTTGAAGAGTGCACTTACCCACCCAGGGACACGACTCCCTGCTGGGATGGAGACGTGGTAAGGAGGACCACATATAAATGAACACTGTTCATCTTTACCAAGACAAACCCTTTTCATCCTCCAAGACCCAATTTTGAAATGAACTCTAACATCAAAAAGTTCTTTATAAAAAAATAAGTTGAACACCCCACTAGAGATACAGGCAAAAGACAGCTTATTTACAAAAGTAGAGGCAAATGTCCAATAAACAGTAAAAAAAAAATTCCGTCTTAATAAAATTGCAAATAAATGCACTTTTTAAACTACATTTCAAATGCAAAAATGAGAGGATCTTTAAACGCTTACCAAGTTTTACATGTTAACTTTTGTGATCGTTACCTTTAATATGAAGTTATGTTGTGAAATTCAGTAAGGGCATATACAGAGTGCTGTTTTTCTTATTTTGTCTATATTGTAAAAACATCTAATAATTTTAAGTGTTGCTATATCAGCATTACCAAAATAACTTGCAAACCTTTATTATTACCTTACCTCTGGGAAGGAAGTTTAATCTGTCATTCATACCATACAATTTCCAGTTAAAGAACTGGTTAGAGCCCAGAAACTGGTGGCAATATATCAATTTATTATTTCTGCAGTTGGTGAAGATATGAAGATGAGCTGTCTTGGGTGATTTGTCAATGAAATATCAATTTGTAGATGCATATTTGTTCCTTTGGTGTTGTATGCTTTCTTATCTGAAGAAGGGAGCCTCTTGGGTCTAGAAGTGGTTGTGGAATGTAGGGAGCCTCTGGAGCCCTGGAATTCTAGGTTTCTTCTTTGGAGCCTTTTAACTTCGGTTGTGAAATCCACTTTTAGAAACAAAGTTCATTGCAGCTGCAGGCATTTGTAAGGCTGCTTTACTTTGTTTTTTCCCCAAGAATTAAGTTGATTATTCCAACTGAACTTGGAACAAACCTCTAGTACAAAGCAACTCTTGGAAGCCCAAATCTAGATTGTGATGTGGCACTAGCTCTGGGTCTTTTTCATTGATGTTTTCTCTATAAATAACAAAATAACAACAACTAAACATCCTCTGCTATTATTTTGGATTGAAATTATGATCCCCCCCTTCTCCTTCTGGGTACCTATAATGCGTACATTGGTCTGTTTGTTACTGTCCTATAAGTCCCTTAAGCTATCTTTACTCTTTTCCATTCTTTTTTCTTCTTTCTCCTCTAATTGGATGAATACTACTGCCCTGCCTTCGAGTCTGCTGCTCCTTCTACTTGATTTAGTCTGATGTTGAAGGTGCCTATTGAATTTTTCTGTTGTTATTGTATTGTTCAACTCTAAGATTTCTGTTTAGTACTTTTTAACATTTTCAATCTCTTTGTTGAAATTCTTTGTTCATGCATTGCTTTCCTGACCTTGGTGACCTTATGATCATTTTGAACTCTCTGTGGGGTAAATCACTTATCTCCTTTTCATTATCCAGATCTATTTCTGGAAATTTATCTTGTTCTTTTATTTGGAACATATTCCTTTATTTCTTCATTTTCCATGACTCTATGTTGGTTTCTGTGCATTAAATAGCCATCTCTCCCAGTCTTGAAAGACTGTTCTCATATAGGAGATGAACCTGGTTAATCAGCCTGGCCCAAACCGCTGGTTGCCTCTTTAACCTCTGTGATTGTCCAAGCCACTGTCTATGTTCTTAGTGGCTCCCAGTAGTTGAGGGTATGTCAAGATCTATCAGTGTCCCAAAGGGGAGTATCCTGTTCCCAGACTCATAGCTGTCAGCCAACAGACAACTCTGAGATGATTTTATGAGAAAGAACTTGATTGCGAGCCTGCAAGCAAGAGCACACTGGGATCAGTCCCAAAGTGGTGCATCCCCAAACAAAGGATCAGATTTGCCTTTATTCAGAGAAATCATGCATAAATATCCAAGTGAACTGTGTCATCGCATGTATAGGTAGGGACCTTACTGCACTGTGCACAGTTAGAAAACATGGCTATACATACTTGCATGTTCAAGAATGGTGAAAAGTATCTGCTCCTGGGAGGAGATTTTAGTATTATAATGAGGGTATGATGCAAAAAGTTCATGAAGAGGTCACTAGAGGGTCCTCCAAGCTTCAGGCCGTTTCAGCCAGATCAACCCACTGGTCCTGCAAAACTTCCTGGGCTTGTTCTGAAAAACGACTCTGGTGATCATCAATGTCAGGGATCTCATAGGTATGGAAGGAAGTTTAATTAAGTCTCAGCCTTTCTGTTAAACTCAACAAAGTATGGGATATGCTTACACAAACCTTATAAAATCTAGGATGATCTAATTGGGTCTAAGTGGGTCTAAGTTAATCTAAGCAAAGTTATAAATTCTAAATAAGTTAGTCTATGCTAGGCTGTATGTATAGGTTAGATCAGAGGTCCCCAACCCCTAAGCCATGGACCATGGACTACTACAGGTCCATGGTCTGTTAGGAACCAGGCTGCACAGCAGGAAGTAAGCGGCTGGTGAGTGAAGGTTCATCTGTATTTGCAGCTGCTCCCTAGCTGCATCATTGCCTCAGCTCCACCTCATATCATCAGGCATTAGATTCTCATAGGAGCACCGGTCCCTGGTGCCAAATAGTTTGGGGACTGCTGGGTTAGATTTCAATCCCAGTCAGTTTCCACATGTAAACTGATTAGAAGCTGGAGCCTGAGGTAGCAGCTATGACAGTATGCAGTCAAATCCCTTGCAGGGAGGAACTGAGTGAGTTAGGTCGTTTTGCCTGCTCTGGTCTGTACTGAGCCCTGGGGGGATAGCCACAGAGAGCTCTCCAGCATACCTGTAAAGAACTGCTTCTTTGTTTGCTATAGTCTTGTGGGTCTCATTGATGCACATCCCACTGGCTTACAGAGCTAGGTGTTTTGTGGGCCTGTCCCTTAGGTGGGAGCCTTAAAAGTTGGGTACTAAATATGGGGACTCTAGGTTCTTCTCAAGGACAAGCTGGGAATTGGGAGTTCCTTCCTAATTTTATGGTGACTTGCTGGAATTGGGGTGTATATTGAGAGTGTGTCTCAGACTTGCCTACCTGTCACCATCTTGGTCCCTCCCATGGTATAACTACTTTTATAGTAAGACTAAGAATTTATTCAGCTTTTCACTCCAATCCTCTCATGAGTGTACAGTGGAGTTTTCCAGAGACTACACGATGTGCAGTGATGTTACTAACAGTAAATGAAACATGTATTTATGTATTCTTGTGCTTTAAACATTTATTTTAACTTTTAATACAGTAAATATCAGTAGTCGATATAACCTAATTGCTAAAAGTTCATGGGGTCGCCAATAATATTTAAGATTATAAAGAATTCCTAAGACCAAAAAGTATGAGAACCATTGTTTTAAACCACAAACTTTGAAAATGAGCACTAAAGATCTGCAGGTTTGATCACCAAAAACAAACAATCCAACAAACCAACAAAACCAAAATAGGGGCCCTAGAAATGAGATTTACTATTTCCTGGACTCCCAGGTCTGGAAGTCTCCAGATCAAAGCCAAAATGAGCAGCAAGGACCACAGCATCTCACCGTCTGATTCATTCTGATCCATACTCTGACCAGGCACCAGCAAACTATGGTCCACAGGCTAAATATGGCCTGCTGCCTGTTTTTATAAAGTTTTATTGGAATACAGCCCTGCCTGTATTGTCTAAGGCTGCTTTCTCACAACAGCAGCAGTTTAGTAGATGTGACAGAGATAATATAGCCTGCAAAGTGTAAAATATTTACTGTCTATTCCTTTTCAGCCAGGCTTGGTTCCGCTGGATCATGTGGATCTCACTGAATCCATAGCAAGTCTTTCTCCCCTTCCCCACCAAATTCTTGGAGTTTAGGAGTCAAGAGCAAGAGCACAGAAATGCCATAAAGCTATGTGTCCAACAAGCACATGTTTTTAAGGATAAATAAGTAATTCTTATTTTGACAAACATTTCATATTTAATAAGGAATAGATATAATCAATAAAACATTCAGACAATAAAAGCTACATTTTAAAAAGCAAATTCTTATGTAAATTTCTATATAGGAAAAATACCATAACTGGACTTCGAATCCATTGCTACTAAAATTTTTATTTAATAAGGGGTTCAAAGCACAGTGCCAAAAGTAAATGAACATTTTAAAATTTCACTAAAAGGAAAAAATATTGTAAAATGCATAGTTACAGAAAGCTCCATAAAGTCACTTTAAAACTAATTCAGACTGCAAAAAAGAAAAGCCCTAGATGCTGTATGTAAGTTATCTGTGTCCCAAGGCAATGTATCACAGTATTCCTTAAAACATAGTGGTTATAAACCATGAGCACATCCATCAAAAGACTGAGAAACTATTTTCATCAAGTCAGTGGACAAGTTGTCAAAAGGGCAATAATTAAAATTGTTGAGCTTTACATAGTGTTAAGATTCCTATCAGAGAGATTACAACACAACAGACTTCCTAGAATGTTATGATAGAAGGCGCATAAGTGGCTGAATTACAAAGGTTATAACGGAATGAGAGCTGCTCACTCCCCAGAAACCATGGCTCACAGAGAAAACCAACAAGAAGCACAATGAGCTACAATCCCAATAGAACGTGTAAAATGTAACGTGCAAGTTATTCCTGTGTCACCTTTAAAGTGCTTCAGAATTCACACTGACACCATACTAATGTTCTTCCCTGTTTTGGACATACTTTTCTACTTTCCAAAGGAGATTATCTTTTCTGTTTTGGCTAAATGCTATATACTAATTTATACTAGAAATGGTAAAATCTAAGAAAACTTAAATTTTTAAAAAAATTTTCTATGCCACCTTCGTGTTTCTAGTTTCTAATTTCTTTATAAGGAGTAAATTCACCTTGCAGGTTATATTCCAGGCTCACTTATACATTTCTGGAATGCCTTTTCTAATCCCTGGAATTTGGAATGGGAGCTTACCCATGCCACAACCACAGCATGCACACTGGTTCACTCCACCTCTTCGCTCTTCTTGGAACCAGCCCCTGTTGAATCTTCTGCCTCAGCCCTCCTTCCATCATGGCCCTCTTCAGAGTATCTTCCACCACATCCCTGTATTCTCATGCAAGCTCCTGGCTGGTACAGCTGCAAGGCCGGCCAGTCCTGCCAGGACAGAAAGGTGGGTTACACTTCCAAGAGCTTGCAACACAGGAGGGAGCAACACCTCTATTTCTAGGGCCTGAGGATCCTAATTATTTAGAGACTATCAATCTTGCAGCTAAAAATCAGCCTTTTTCACATCACTATCTCAAAAACAAAGCATTTTGCGGTAAAGTAAAAAAAAAAAAAAAAAGCCATGAAAATAAATACAATTAATATGTTATTGCTCAAACCTAGAATACTCTCTGGAAATAGTACAGTCATGGCGTTCTTCTCCCAGTTTGAGAGATGACAAGTCAAATACACACATCTCAGTCCCTCAGACTCGCTATGCAGTGAACCTGAGGTCTGAAACAAAATGAGGCATGGTCCCTCAGCGTGGTGACTTTTAGAGTGCTAAACTAAACTGTTATTAACATTCGTCATAAGCAATTTCCACATAGATTATTTCTGAACTATCCCCTTTATAGAAAATACTAACCCATTGTCTTTAACTCTTAGATGTGGTAGAATAAAAACAGACTGAATAAAGTACATGAAATACAATTAAACAGCTTCTGGGAATGAGGACGTTGAAGCCAGGGAAGGCCAGAGAGATTCTGAAGGCTGAGACTTGTAATCCCAGCAGGAACCATTCCTCCTCGCAGGGAAGCCAGCGCTCAAGATGAGGGAGGGAGCGACCCATCCCAGCTCAGTGGAGTTTACAGCCCAGGGAGGAAGGCTCCGCCTCAACATTCCTTCCTCCTCTGTGAATGTGACATAGCAGCAGCAGACTTAGCCTTTCCACGGCCACCTGGAGCTGGAGCGCAAGGACAGTGCGACGTGAGTGGGCATGTCCCACTGACGTCTCACCTTTACCCACTCCTGGGCTTTGTGTGGAAGCCCCACAGGCACCGCCTGAGATAATTGGAATATTCTTTTCCTTAATATTAGCTGGGCCAATGAAAAGAGTTGGAAAGGCCTTGGTCGGCCCCATGGATCTGAACCTGTATGTAGGCAGAGATGCAGGCTTCACAGGCCACCTTCTGCTGGGCCAACAAGCATGGCTCTGCTTTTCACCAGTGTAACATCTGTGTGTACAGACAGAGTTATAAACTGATCCTAAAAGCACATCGTAACCTGCCAGGCTTGGTAAGAAAGGAGCTATTACCCACAAAGCACTTTATCACCACTACAGCATTGCAGATTTAATTGACAGAAGGCATCATCATGAGTTCCCATACCTGAAGCTGTGCAAATACCAAAATCACTCACTCCTGCTAAACAAAATGGCAGTTGAAAAACAGGTGTTCAGAGGAACAATCCCCATCAGTGAGACCCATGGCTGTACTCAATGTACCTGAGGTTAAAGCAGCTACAGAAACCTTTTGTGATGTAGATGTGATTACTCAAGGGTGAAGACAGAAGGTTCTGGCTTTTCTGGAGATCTCCCTCGCCTTTACTGGAAACATTTAGAAAATCAACATTACTGATACCACAGGAACTTGGATGGATCTGAAGGGAATCATGCTGAGTGAAAAAGCCAGTCTCAAAAGGATACATACTCTGTTTCCATTTATATAGCATTCCTGAAATGACTAAGTCATAAACACAGAGAACAGAGAGTGGCTGCCAGGGTCAGGGACAGGGTGGGTGATGGGTGTGACCTGTAGCCAGGGCAGCAGTCAGTCAGTCCCCTTAGCTCACCTAGAGGCCAGGCTGCGGGGAACTGACAGCATCATGGGGTCTGGCCCTGGCCATTTATAGTGTGTCTCTATGACAATGTGATCTGAATATAAAGTAACCTCAAACTTCTGAAAGAAAAGCTGTTTCTTGGACCAAGTGGGCAATCTCAATCCTGTGTTGATTGTGCAGATCTAACTTATGAGTGTTTCTGAGCCATTTGATTGTCCATTAATAATCAGACATTGTTAATAATGGAAAAGAAAGTTCCATGAAATGTCATTAATATTTTCCTTACTGTCTTAGGGGTAAATCTGATAATATACCGGTATTTATTCTCTAGCGAATGGTACGAATGTGCTAGTTTTAAACTAAATGAAAGCTTTTTTTCCCCTGGTGAAAAATACTTGATTCACTGAGGAAATATGATGGCTGGTTCTATTTTTGGATTTGACATTCAGCACTTGGTACCCACTAAGTAGACAAGAATGACTCCTCTAGCAAACACAGACTCTCAGGGCAGCACACTCCCTAAGACAACGCAGGATCCAGTGAGGGCAGGCTTCTCACTGGCAAGAGTGTGTAATCCTGTACCCTAGATACCTGTATAGATTTTCCTTTTCTTGTTAAATAAAAGAATTTCTGTTTGGAAAAGCAGTCATGAGCCTGCCAAAGTATACCTTATACTTTTAGTACAGACAGATGACTGACAGATTATCTTAAATGAATAAAGGAACCTTGTTTCCCACACGTTCCTTTTTGGGTGCCAGGTCCCCCTCACTCTTCTGCTCTTTCTCTGGTCTCTCTGCTGCTTCTATAAGGATGCCACTGTCCTGGCTCCCTGTCCTCCCTCTGTCTGGGCTGAATCCTTTCCCCCATTCCGGCTCTTCTTCATTTCTTCTTGAAAACTTGTCAAACTCATAGTGAGCTTTAAGCTTTCTGTTGTCATCCAAGTGATATCTTTGTGTTTCAAGTTCTTTTTCTCCCAATTTTCTCTCCATATGCTTTTGCTCTTTACCACTGTCATTTTGTGACCTGTGATTCAGTACAAATTATCAGTAACCTTATGTAACCTGCTTGTCGACTACCTGTCTTCCCTTCCAGACCGTAAGCGCCAGAAAAGGCAGAGAACATGGAAGTCTGCCTATCACTGTATGCCAAGTTTGCACAAGATGGGCATGCCATAGGCATTCAGTAAAAAACTTGAAAAGATGAATAGTAATAACAATATTTACCATTATACTTGCGTGACACATATATATTAGGCACTCTGCTAAGGTACTATATATATTCTCAGTAACCCTCTAAAGTATATATAATCACTTCTTTTGAAAGATAAAGTAAATGAGATTACAAGTGGTCAAGTGACTTTCCCAGTAGCCCAGATGTACATCCATCGTGACATAGAGCTGATAGTGACAGCTTAGCTTCTGCAACAAGCATAGCTAAAACTAACTGAAATTTAGTATTTATGCATGTCAAAATGTTAAATGAATAGTAAATAAATAAGTGGAAGGTTAGCTCATTTGGTTCTTAAAGTCCTTCCACGAACCACAGACAAAAGTCCTCACACACCATCTGTGGCTCCCTCACATACAGAAGCAGCAGGACTGGTGGCAACAAAAAGATCTATAAGCGAAGCATGAACTGGTGCCAGAAACATGACAGAAGCACTCTTATATCATAAGCAATAATAATACAAATACCGGTAACATAAACCAGAGTGCTAACACATCACAGACTTGATAATCATGAATAACTTAATTTTATAAACAAACCAATAAACCAGAACTGCCAAAAAGAGAGAGAGAAAAACTTTATTATGACTGTGCAATAAAGGCAGTAAGAAGTCATTCAGATGCATGTGATCCTAGGCAAACAGCAGCCTAATCCCATGACCTTGCCATCTCCCCTCCTAAGTCAAATCCTCTTCCAGACATCCCAGTGAGCAGAGCATCCCTAGGCTCCAGGAAGGTCTGTGTGTGTCCAGATAAAGCACATGGGCAGGAGCCCTGGGTCAAGAGGACAAGAAGCCCAGCTGCGTGTGGCCCCACTGATTGTAGGGAGGTGTCCAAACACCGTGGGCACACAACCAAGGGCAGCAGGGAGGGGCTGGTCTCTCTCTGGCCCCTGTGTAGAGATTGCTGTGTGTGTCCTGTTCCCACAGAAGCCCTGCCCAGCTCCTTTCATGAAGTCGTATCCTGAGCAGGCAAAGACCTATGTGCCTAAGGACACATCGCCAGAGAGAGGCAGGACTGATGAACACCAGATCCACAGCTGCAGGTCAGATTCCACAGTGGGACCAGAGGGACAACAACTCCAACAAAGGAATTACAGCCCTTAGAATTCTATCTCTGTAGCACAAAAGACTTTCAGTACCTAAAAGACTGGGTTCTCAAATTTACAACTCTGTAGACAAATTAAAGGAAGTATGCAAGATCAAACGGGCAAGATATCTCGAAACACAGAGGACAATTATAAACTAATAAAGACCATGAAGGAAAAGAGACTGGGAAGAAGATCCTGAAGACCTAAACTGCAATAACAGGAATCCAAAGGAAGAGACAAGGAAAGGCCATAGTGAAGGAAATTAGAGAAGGACCTTTCCCTGGTTCAAAGACAGACTTGAGGCTGCAGACTAAATGGTTTACCAAGTTCCTAGCATGACCATAGAGAAATAAAAACATGGACAAGCTTTCAAGAATTCCAAGAATACTATGAAATACAAGCATGCGTAATGAGAAAGGATATATGTCTATGACTTGATGACAGTGCAGTGATGCTTAATGTGGTCAAAGAAACAAAAGTGCAGGGCTCACTTTTCCCTGCGCCTGTCCTGTGTGCTCTCCCAGGGCTTGGCCTTCACAACAGCACAGCTAGGGCAGGCTTCCCGTTGTCCATCTCCAGCATCAATTTCCTCTCCTTGTTCTTTCGTTTTCTCAGTAGCTGCTTCCCCTCCCTTTTCTGGTTTCTTAAGAAGCTGAGAAAGTATAATGTTAGTAAAATATAACTTTAGGAGTATACTATAAAAGAGGTTGTTTAATAAATAGTTAGAAATATCACCACTATTGAGCCCAAATGTTTGAATAGCAAAAAAATATAAGGTAAAGGTCCAATGAACAGGTTTTTGGTTAAACACCTAGGACAACATCCAGTCACTGAAATACTCTGAACTTCTGAAAAATGATTTGGGATAGTTAGTGTGATGAATTGATGCTTCCATTACTGAATAAAGGAATTCCACAAAACAGAATAATCTGATTCCTATTTCTTTGTTGATACATACACACAGAAGAATGTCTAGAAGGCTTGCAACACTGTGTTAATAGTGATTATTTTTAGGTGGCAGAACTGAAATGATTTTCTTTCCCTTCATCTACAGGTTCTAGTTTTTCTAAAATGAATAAGTATTACTTTTGTAATAAGGAAAAAACATTTTTTAAAAGGCTGCTTTATACTGATGACATTTAGAACAGTTTTAGGTTTTCGAAACACTTATTATTTCTTGAAACAGACTTAGCAGTTTGCCATGATGCATTTAGTTTGGTATGCCTTTTATTGGGCCTCCCTCCCAGTTCCCTGTACAGCTTACCCTTTGAAATCTAAGTATCACAGGTAGAGAGTCAGTTTGTAGAATAGAAATGGAAGATCTACTTCTGAGAATTTTGTTCTCACTTACAAAACTAAACCTATTTTAAATTGCAGTATAGCAAGACTATAAACAGATATATTTGGACTAAATGAGTTCATTTAAGAAAGAAACATATAATGTAATGCAAAATAAAAAAAGTTGCTTCTCAGCAAAGGTATGCATTATGTTACCAGTGTATACATTCTTAATCTGCGTTTGTGGGATCTTTGAATTTAAACATTTCATTTCAAAAAACTACCCACCTTTTAAATTACAAAAGTAACATAGGTTTGTAATAAATGCAAACCATAGAGAAGTGCAATAGTATGTATCTGCATTCATCCATCCAACCAACAAAAAATTTGTACATCTACGAACTGTTTTTACTCATAATACTTCTGAAACCAAATGTGTGGTGTCGCTTCCAAAACCACTTCCCCAGCTCTGCAACACAGGCTGGTGACCTACAATTCAATTAAGCTCTGACATTATCTATCAGAATTAACATCAGATCTCACAGAACTGTCGCCACTTCAGATGCCAGTCGAAATTCCAAGGTTGTCACCGGTACTTCTGACCTAATGGCTATAAATTCACGAGGTTCTTGAATGAGAATGACTCGTGGAACTTGGGAAAGTGTTTTACTTACTATGGCTGGTTTACTACAAAGGATACAACTCAGGAACAGCCAAATGAGAGAGGCTCACAGGGCAAGGTACAGGGAACAGTTTGGAGCTTTCTCTGCGGCGACACCACCTTCAGGCTCGATGTGTTCACCAGCTTGGAAGCACTCCAAACCCCAGACTTCATACTTCAGGGACTTTTATAGAGGCTGTATTACACAAGATTGGTTAAATCATTGGCTACCGATAAGTGAAATCAATCTCCAACCCTCTCTCCTCTCCAGGGGTCAGGGGGTGGAGCCGAAAGTTCCAACTCTCTAATCATGCCTTGGTCTTTCTGGTGACCAGCCTCCATCCTGAAGCTATCCAGAGCATCAGCTTCCATCATCTCATTATTATACAGAAGACATCTTATCACTCCAGAGGTTACAAGGGTTTTAAGGGCTGTGTGCCAGGAACCAGGGAGAAAGGCCCTGTGCTAAGTGCCAGGAATATAGTTGTGAACAAGAGACAAGTGCCCCCAATTAAGGAACTTACACTTGATATTCCAGCTGCAGCAGTGATATCCATAGGGGTGGAAGAATGGTGTGTACAGTGACAAAAATAGAAAAAGTGAACAAGATAACCGCAGGTGGTATGAAATGCTATGAACCGAATAAAAAGACAGAGAGATATGGGGTGAGAGGGAGAGGAGGAATGGTTTCTCAAGGGGGTTAAGGAAGGGCTCTCTGTGAAAATAAGAAGTGAACAGAGACCAGATGATGAAAAGAAGCCACTTATGAGAAAGCCTAAGTCTGGGAGAAGAGCTCACTGTGGAGAAAAGCAAGCAGAGGCCTAGGGTGAAATTAGCCTGGCAGAGGAAGGAAGGAGAAAGAAAGGAAGAAAGGAAGGAAGGGAAAAAGGGAGGGAGGGAGGGAGGAAGGGCAGGCCAGGGCCACACGACACATTAGGAGGAGGTGTAAGCAGGCGCCAGGTCTGGTGTGCTTTAAAAACATTTGTTTTTAAAGAGAGCTTTGTGAAAAAAAAATCACACAACTTTTTTTATGTAATGTAACCTATACCCTACAAATTTATATATTCAGGGATTGTATCTGTAACTTCGTTAACCTATCTTCCGACTTCAACGTAAGTTCACAGCTTAGTTTTAGAGTCCTCAGAGGAAAATAAAAAACTGCTGGGTTTCTCTCCTTGTATCATATTTCTCTATTGTTAAAAATAGCCATGAGGATATCTCTCTGCCTTTCTCTTTTTAGGCTATAAATACAAATTCTTTTGGCATTTCTTCACAGATTTTGTGTTTCCATGTTTTTGTTTTTGTTTTTTAATTTAAATTCTCCAAATCATTCATAAGTCAAACACCCCCAAATTGAGCACAGATACTTATTAAAGGATAAACGTGGGTTGGATATGTATGCTTAGGTCAGAATACCAGACACTCCTAAGGATGGAAGCTGTGGACTACTCATGTCATCGGGTTTGTTCTGCCACTGAGATTTTGTTCTGTCAGATTTGGACCAGACTAACCCTTTCTCTTGCTATGTTTAAGTTTTGATTTCTTTTTTTCTATATAAAGGATCCTACATTTACTTTAACTGACTTAAATTTATTTTATTTCTTTGACTTATTCTGTATTCTAATTCCATACTCCAAACTGTAGGAGTAAATGCTATACTCCAAATACGTGAAGTCTTACTTAAAATTAAGGTCGAAATTGTAGGCTACAGGATTCAATTATTCTTCCTGGAAAACTCTCGAAGATGTCGGCAAAAGTGCTTTTGAGAATGCAAAACATTAGAATCTGGGTTAGCTATTACTCTTTGTTTAGAAAGGTAAATGAGGTTAGACAATATTCGCACATCTGTGACCATAAAATTTACATTGTCCCTGGTTGTGATAGAGCTGAATTTCTACAATGATAAAGACCGTCCTTGTAATGTTATGGTTTCATTTGATTAGCTATTTGAGATTAGGTGGGCCATGTGGCTTGTTTGGCTAGTGAAATGTGAGCAGACGGTATATGTCACTTCCATGTGGAAGATTTAAGAACTAATGTGCAATTTGCCATCTTACCCCTACACCTGTCATAAAGATTGTGGAAGTAAATGCCAAGATGAAGCCTGTATCACCCTGGGTCACTGGATGGCTACGATGAGCAATGCACAACAATGACATATACCATGAACAAGAAAAGAATTTGAAGTTTATAAAACCAATGAGATTTTGAGACTATTTGTTACTGCAACATAATCTAGGCAGTCCTGACTGATACAAATGCCGGTTTGTTTTCATAGGAGTGTTGTTAAAAAATTGTTCCCTCCACTGCTACTGAACTCAGTATGACTCCCTATGGGAGAAAGTGTTTTGGAAGCAAAGGCCTAGAAAAAGCTTTGCTTCCCTCGAAGAACTGGCATGTTTTCTCCTCACGGATAATGAAAACTATGCTTCTGGTCAAATTTTCTGTTTCTGACTGCCAAGAATAACAGAAACTAATCAATGGCTCAATGATAGAGACTGTGATCTCTTCCTCATCCTTTTCTTTTCTACTCTATCTTCCCGTAAGTACTGACCTTTGATTTTTTCTTCTTTATGTCACACAATTTTAATGAATCCTATAAGGCACTTTATGCCCTTTGTAGAGTGAGGTAAGATGCACATTTGGTTGAAACCGAGGTTTAATAATGTCATCTGAGCAGAACACTAATAAGGTTAAGGGCTGACCCCAATTTGGGGCAATGTATTTTATACAGAGAAAAATTTCCTCTATGTGTTAAATTACCCTCCTAAATGAATGCATCAGTCAAAGGAGAAAATGGGCAAGAGAAATAGAAACCATTGTTGCTACCACAAAAGAAATGATAAAACCCAGTCTGCGAGTCAGCCTTCATACAGAAAGGCTAGTGTACACTGAGCCTGTGGTTTTCAAATGTGTATTTTTTTAGTCAGGAAAAATTTTCTTTAAAGGAAAATGTAAGCAGAAACCCAATCTATGACATTTAGATGTGGGGCTCCTCTGGGGGAAGTACTCCCATCACACCCAGGAAGCCAGTCCTCTTCCACCCTTCCACCCACTCGGTCCACCCAAACATAGCCTGTGCAGGGAACCCCAAGGGCTCAGGGAGCACAGTTTGAGAACTACTGTTGTAGAACAGAGAAAAGGAGTCATAATAATAAAAGAATAGCTGAATTGAAAATGGTTCTTAAAATTCTAAAAAGCTAAAATACCTAAAAGGTATGATTAGCGGAGTAGAACCATTTCTGGGAAAAAAGAAATGAAAGGTCTCTTCCAAATTACCTTAATCCTTACTTCTTTCTCAGCAGTTTTCTTTTGTTTGTCTGCTTCTTTTCTCTTACATCTTTCCTCCTCTCTTCTCTTTCTTTTTTCTTCTTCCCGTAAACGTTTCTTTTCCAATTCCCTCCTCCTCCGCTCTTCTCGCTTCTCTTCTCGAATTCTCTAAAGAGAAAGAAAAGTACATGTATAAATTGTTTGCATGGATGTGGCAGAAACAGAAAGAATATTCATCATGTAAAAGGCCATACTTACCTGCTTTTCTAATTTTCTATTTTTAATGTATTCCAAAAGAGGTGTGGTTCTTCTAGCTAAAATACAAAAATTGTAAGGGAGTATTTAACTTGAAAATAAGATTTTTCCTTTATTTTAAATGCTTGTTTTCAATGTAATCATTAAAATAATTAGGGGAAAACATTATCATTTTTAAATTTACACGAGCATACCTGAGCATTGTATTTGAGGGGACTCTTGTTCCATCACTATAAAGTTAAGTAATTTAGAGGTAATGATAATTTTATATATTGCAGGCATTTAATTCCTGATTCTGAAGGGAGTCTTAGATATTACTCACAAAGATTGTATAAAAGCAAAAAAGTAAAATGAGTACAATGCATTAAACTTCCCAAATGTTATGAATTCCTTCATACTTTTGCAGCTATCTTAAACCATTATATATTTATATATTCACTTTGACTCAACACATATCTTGTGAATTTCTTCCTTCTCTGCTCTCTAGACAATAGTTTTAAGTAATTGGATTCTTGTACTTTCTTATAATATACACTCCATGAATCAGAATAACCAGACGTAAGTTTAGAAAATTATTCCATATGGCATTGTTGATCTAAAAAGCACCAACTACCAAAGAATGAAGTTCTCCACAAACTCTTAACCAGATCCTCAACTTTCATGCCTCTGACCTATCTGACCCGACCTGAATGTGGGGTGCCCAACGTGTGGCAGGCCTCTAGGTGCTATCTCCCTGAGGGACTCGCTCTGAGAAGTATGTGTTCCCCAAAGCAGTGTTTGAAGATGTAGGTGGGAAGGTGGAAGATGGTTTGGGTCTGTTCTACAGGTCATCAAGATTTCAGATTAAACAGAAGAAGGAAGAATCCTAGGATGCACTTGAACACCTACACATCACTTCGGGAATTCTGATGTTCGGGAATAAATCAGAAATTATTAGAGCCCTGGCCAGGGATTTCTAACTTGGAATTGAGGACTCCTGAATACCTCGACATCACATATCAAACGGCATCTGCCACGAGAGCTCTGCCCTAGGTTCCCAGCTGAGATGAAGAGCTGACGTGGTGCAGATACCCAAGTTTCCTAACAAGTATAGTGGCCAAGAAGAGCCCACTCCCTCTCTGAGTGGCTCCTGTGCTAACTATGAACTCTGGCTTAGTATTACAGCCGATGCCCTTTTTAACAGGCAAATCACCCCAAATTAGTGAGGACTCTGCTCTGCACTGTAGAAGTTCTGCCAAGGAAAGGGCTGAGACCTACCTTGGTGGGTGAAGGAGTTGATGCTGAAACCTTGCCTGCCTTCCCTCCTTTCCCAAAAAACACCTGCCTTGTTACTCCTAAAAGGTCGATGCAAAGGGAAAATGAGACTCTGTACAAAAGCTTTACAAACCAGAAAAGTGTATCATAATTAAATAGAAGACGTGTGGCCATGTAATGTAATACTAATTTAGGCAACGGTATAGCTGTTACCACTTACAAACAGCCTTTGCACACTAGGCACTGTCACAACAATGTATGAGGAAACAGGGAACCTGAGGCTCAGGACAAGGCTGCACAGTTGATAGGTCTTAGAGATGGGACCTGAGCCCAGGTCTATCTGCTCTAAAGATGCTGATATGCCACTGCACTAACCTGGAATTTCAAAGTGAATTAATATTTCCATTTAACCCTTGATTGCTTACCCTTGATCATAAGAATCCATTGAAGGCCAAAACCTAAGAAGAGAAAAAGGCAATTTGCCATGGATTGCCTGATTAAGCAGACATAAATGGGCAGAAACAGGAATCAGAGAAACAAAGCTCTATAGCTGGGCTAATGAGGCAGTCACATTTATTCATTCAGTAAATAGCTATGATTCATCTACTGTGCACCAGGAGCTAAGAATGGAGGAAGACAGGACTTGTTTGCAGGAGAGTGGCTGGAATGTGCTAGAAGGTGTGTGTCTGACCACCAAGGGGATGTCTCAAGACTGCCCAAAATGAAAGAGTCTGCCACTTTCCTGAGCTGTCCTGTACGAGGGCATTTAAAACAAACTGGGAATGAACTAGGAGGGGAGAGGAAGGCAAGTTCTGTAAATAATTTTTAGCTTGCTTCTTTTAGCTCTTTTTAAATTTAACATCCTCTACAGTGAAATATCCATTTGCCTCGAATACTGTTTATCCCCGAGTCTTCTCCAGGTCAGTAATGGTGTCATGATCCACTGATCTGCTTAAGTCAAACTCCTGGAGGCCTTGATTCTTTCTGTTTTCTTACCTCCAACATCCAATTCGTCATTCAGTCCTATCAGTTCTACCTCTAGAATACATGCTGACTCTGTAGCCTTGTTCAAGTAGCCTTCCCTGGACTACAGCCATAGCCTCATAGCCAGAAGACCAGCTTTTCCTCTTGAGATGCATAATCCATCATGTATGGAGCACCAGAGTGATTGAGAAAATAAATCAGACCATGGCACTCTTTCAATGGTTTCCAGGTATCCAAATCTCTTACCTACTAGCCCAATGTGATGTGCCCACATGCTTCTCCACCTACCTGCTCCTTGTGCCCACCACATAGACACATAGCCTGACCCTACAGGCCCAAAATGCTGGCTTCTAGCCCTTGCAGTTGAAGTTCCCTCTTCTTCCATCCCTTAGCACGGCTGCTCTCAGCTCATATACGGGCTCAGAGGGGCCTTTCTTTCTATCCTATTAATCTTATTTCATTTCTTTGTGGCACATAAGGAAATGCTCTGGTTGAAGCTCAATGACTGTGTTTACCACAGTCATCCCCACTGGAAGAGCAGGTACATGAGGGCAGAGGCCTCATTCATCTTGTTCATGTTCTGTCCCCATGCCCAGACTCAGAGCTGGTACCTAGTCAATATGCTGAATAAAAATGAGCAAATGCATCCTAAGCACATCTTAATAAATATTTACTTTAGTGATTAAAAATCCTTTGAGCCACATGTTAAATCAGCTATTATAAAATATAAAACTTACCGTAGAGGGGGTAGGAGGATGGGGGAGGTAGATGGGGTAAAAGGGGTCAAATATGTGGTGACAGAAAGAAATCTAACTATGAATGGTGAACACACAATGCAATATATATATATGCCATACTGTTTCAGGTTAGACGCACCTGAAACTTACTGGATTTCATTAACTAATGTCACCATAAAAAAAATTAAAAAATAAAAATAAAAGTTATTTCCCCTAGCAGTTTGAGAGGTTTTGTTTTGTAAGATAAATTGTTTTGAACTCTCATACAGGGAAAAACATGGTGCATACAAAAAAACTGCATTTTGAAAGTTTTAAAAAATAAAATATAAAACTTCATTATTAGACTAATGAAAAATATTTCAATAATATTAACCTTTCTTATTAATTTACTCAAGAAACATTTACTGAATACCAAAACTTGTCCAAACAATGTACTATGTGCTGGGACTACGAAGACAAAATTAAAGTTCTGCTAGGGAGGGGGAGAGACAAAAAGAGAAGAAAGTTTATGCAGAGGGAGATGGACAAATAAGATAAATTATAAACAGTGTAATGTCTTATTCTATAATTCTTAATTGGTGAGCAGGAGGTAGATGTGGGGAGGGGGAGTGTAGAAGGGGTGAGCTTGGAGAATTGAGCCCTGAGGGGAGGTCTGATACAGAGTGGAGACTGACATGAAGGGAGACAGTACAGGTACAGGGTCAAACACTAATGTTCATTATTTGGGAGCTACAATCAGAGTAGTGATGACAGAAAAAGGTGTTTCACACATAGTTTTGAGTTTTTTGGGATTGATACTCAGAGATAACCATTTCTAAAGTTGAAGGCCTGATTCAAACCAGATTCTGTGCTCTGGCTGGGTTTATTCATTTGCTTGCTTGACTTGTTCAGGGGGCTTGATATTTTTCTTAAACAGCAGCAAGTGATCTCACTTAAGCCAAGCATCTCATTTCTGTGACTGCTTTGCAAATATGACTGACTTCAACTTTGAGATATAATGCTCTTTCCCCGATGCAACCAGGCACAGAGCACTCAAATGGCTTCTCTCCTGTTCAATTATCATAGCTTTGAAACAAACTAACTATAACTGATAACTCAGGTGATCTCCAGCAACAGAGGCTCAAAATATTTTCTGGCAAGATGGCCACCATCTTGCTATCCTTGTCTCAAAACTAATATCTACATTTCTGCCAATCCTGTCATAGATGTCTATTTTTAATGATAATCTTGAAAAAAAAAAAGAAATAAAACATACTCTCTAATAACATGGCTCAAGAAAATAAAAAAACAGATGAGCAAAACAGACCAAAATGTTCTCTTGTCTTTGCTTCTATGTCTCCCAAAAGAGTTTCGGGATTGGTACTAGTTTTCTCTTCCTCCACAGAGTAAGCTTCTAAAAACCTCTTATATTCCAGATCTGTAAATTTAAAAAGGAAAAAAAAAAAGAAAATAAACATACTCCCCCCATATATAAGAGAGAAATTGTATTTGATCAGTGTATTTAATTTGGTAGTTTTGTAATCCAGCCTTTTAGAAAGGACTCACCACCTTCAATGCTTCCAGTTTTGGCATCTTTTTTCTTTAGCCTCCTTTTGGCTATCTTCTGGAACGGAGCGAACTCTACCACTGCAGGATATTCAAGGCCTTTAAACAGGAAAAATGTTCCAAAAATCATTATGAAATTCTAGTATATCTTAATGGAGAAAAAATGATATAACTTAAAGATTGAGTATAACAATAATAATGCTACTGTTTAAACTATAATTTAATTATACTGTCAAGGAACTGTAACCTTGGCATGTCAAACTCCACATTTAAATAAAGGAAGGGCAATTATGTATTAAACAAAATCATATTGTAGTGGTGGTTATATGTCTGAATACATTCAAAGTTCATCAAATCGTACATGTTAGAATGGTGAATTTTACCATATACAATTTATACTTTCATAAACCAGATCTCTCCAAAGAGTGTATCATGGAATATCTTTAAATAGGTTTCTTAGTACATTTAAATTTTTTTAATTTTAAAAGGTTAATTCAATTATCAATCTGTTATATGAGTTCAAGGAAATTACTTTGCTTAGAAGAGATAGTTGGCTAAAAGAGGAGTTTTCAAAGAGTGCAAATAATATTAAGGTAAGATTTGCTTCAAGTAGAAAAATTTAGAATAAAAGTTAGTAGAAAGTTGTTTTGTTGTTATGTGGTGGGGGAGGGGAACATACAGATAGAAATGATCACTAAGAGAATCTGCTATATGCTTAATCAACAAATGGAACGTTCTACCTTGGTACTAAACCCACTGAGTAATCATTTTCAGACTTGTCAGGAATGAGCAGGGGACTATGACATTGCAACTCTCATTTATCCGGAAGACACATGCTACAACATCGGTGATCCTTGAGGACATTATGTTAAGCGAAATAAGCCAGTCACAAAGAGACACATACTGTGTGATTCCACTTCTGTAAGCTATCTAGAGTAGTCAAAGACACAAACAGAAAGTAAAAGAGTGGTTGCCAGGAGCTGGAGAGAGGGAGAACTAAGAAGTTGTGTAATGAGTACAGAGTTTCAGTTTTGTAAGAAGAGTTCTGGATATCGGTTGCACAACAATGTGAATATACTTAACATTACTGAATTCTACACCTAAAGATGAATAAGATGGTAAATTTATCTTATGTGTATTTTACTACAATTTTTAAAAAGGAAAGGAAAAAGGCACTTGATTGAATTCATGGAAAAGTAAGCATTTGACACCAATGTCAAATAGTTCAAGCATTAAACTTGCTTTTACACATAGGAAAAATCTCTTGGCCTCAGCCTAGTCACTCCCTAACCATCTTTTCTAGTTTGTGACCCTCACTGGAGGAGAAGAAAACATCAGTTGTGGGGAAGGGTGGAGAGGAGTGGGAAGAGGTTGTTTGGTGAGGGGTGTATACAAAACAATATGCAGTTAAAAGTGTACAGACTTGATAGAAGTGAACTCAACAGCTGACATTCTGTCTGACAGGAAAGGAGGAAAAGAAAAAAAATCAAAAGCAGAACCTCCAAAATACAGAGAATTGGAAGTATGTAGTGTAGAGGTAAATAATATTCTCAGCAGACAATGAGTTTAACAGGATCAAAATTGAACCCACAAAAAGTACAGAAAATTGAAACTATTTAGTGTTGAGGTAAATTACATTGTTTCAGGGTCAAACACTAATGTTCATTATTAAAACTCCCTCCTCACATGACATCATCCAGAAATAGTATAGTTATAGAGAATATTCTGTTTAATGCAAGTGAATAATACATTTTAGAAAATTTCTAAAAAGACGTGTAAAATCATTTAGTTTTGGGATGTAAAAGTAAACTTCGCCTATCCAGAAAGCTCATTTATATGAACAACTTCACTCTGTGATGATAATACATAAATAGGTTATCATTATTGCACAATTGCTGGAATTCTTTGGTTTCTATATAATTTTAATTTTTAACATAAGCACACAATCACAATAACATAATCTAAATTTACACAATTATTTTAGATTAATATCTGAGAATTTCTAAATTAAACTCACAAACATTCCAGAAAAACGTATTGTACTTAATGAACTGTAACGAAGAGTTTAAAAAGCCAGTGACCCAACCTTTATTGTCAATGAAGATATATCCATCAAAACGATCTCTAAAAAGAAGGATGTCATCAGGATTTCTAAAATTAATGTAGGCTCTTGAGTAGAGATGAGGATAAAGACTGAAACAAGAGATAACAGTAAAAATGGTTAATAAAAATGACTTAATTTTGCCATTTAAAAAAATCTGGATATAATAACATTTCAGATAAAACTTGTATGCCAAAGAATCATCTCTCAGTAAATAAAAACAATCAGGATGTTCTTTAGAAAACAAAAACAAACAAAATATTAACTGAGATGTTTTCAATGACTGGGGAAAGATGTTTTAGGTCACTTTCTCTACTGCACAGAGCCAGAGCTAAAATAACTGGTCTCAGAATTGAAAACTAAAGGCGAGGTTATTCAAAGGTCATGCCTAATCGTACATCATGGCTGCAGTGCAAGCTAGTTATGATTCATTCGTAGAAGAAAATGTTATATTGTAAAATACTATTTACTAGAGATTTAGAGAACATTTTTAGGTATTTTAAGATGACTTACTATAGCACATTTTACAGCGTCTACAGAAGAACTAAATCTTTCTCTGCTATCTCACAACTACCAATTTCCTTAACTGGCAGGAACTTCAACCCTATTCACAGATGAGAACACTGAGGCTCAGAGAAATTAGGTAATTGCAGAGGGAGCAGTCAGTTAAAAGGTAGGACTGGGATTCCAGTCTGAGTCTCTCTGAGGCCAGCATCTGACCCCCTTTAACTGTACTAGTTTTCCTAAACCTTAGTCATCTGGAAGTGATCTAAATTTTTCTTTAACCATCTCTTTATTTACCTGTTTGTGGTATTTTCATTGAATGGACTGACATTTTTCACTTAAATGTACTTATTCAACAGTAAAGTTTATATGGCTACCACAAATGAGAACTCATGATATTGAAGACAAAAAGGATAATAATAAAAATAAAAATAACAAAAACATACTAAAGGTCACTAAATCACAGCTGACCTGTCACCTGTTAATGGTCTAACTTGAGTTCTGGTGTCTCTTTGCTAATGAAAGGGAGATTTGGAGATAAGAATTTTTGTCAGAGTCATCTAACTACAAAGTTGTAAAAGGAAATTGAAAATGATACAACTTGAGAAGGGCAGGGTAGAGTCTGGTGTTAGTGATGGAAGGGAGCACAAGGGAGCTTCTAGGGTGTGAGATATTCTGTTTCTTTATCTTGTGCCAGTCACATGGATGTGTTCTCTTGTGAAAATTCATCAGATTATATACAGCTATTACTTATTCACTTTTCTTTGTTATATCTTAATACAGTTTACTTTTAAATGCTGTAAGAAATAAGGTTTACTGATACTCCAAATACGAAAATTAAGTAATATGTTGTTAATTGGTCTATTTTTCTTTTTAGATATGGTGATGCTAGTAGAGGCATAGTTCAAATATATTTTAGAGAAATTTAAGGATCTGCCTCCTTAGAAATACTTGCAGAAATAAAGGTCTGTACTGATTTCTGGGTACCTGTGGGAAAGAAGATGGAAATGGAGATGGCTTCTAGTACCTACGATTTGCCGGCAAGTGACAACACATCTCGGCTTCTTAATGTTGGTAAACAGCTTCTCACCTGAGATCCGCAGTAAAGAACTCAAAGTAATCGTGTGCAGGTAGTGGGTGGAGCTGCTCTTCCAGCTGTTCCTTGGTGAGGCTGGGAGGAAGGCGCCGGATCACCACCTGGGGAAAGAACTCTGGCAGTTCTGTTTCACTCTTAACTGTATTCAGCTTCGCTTATTTAAACGCTTGGCGACTTGTGTTTATGCTCAGAAGAAAATCTAAACCAAGAGTCCATCAGAATCAAGCATTTAAGAAAAGGTTAAGAGACACGTGTATGGAGAATGTGACTGTCAAAACCAAAACAAGACAAAACAAAGGATAATAGTGGTTGAATAATTTGAAAGGGATGTGTGAGTCCAGAAAAGGCTGTGCCTAACAGTTCTTTTCCATGTAATCATTTCATTACTACCAGACAACTGTTGGCCTGACAGGTACTGTCTGGGCCCCAGCTGAAAAACGGCACCATGTCCTACTCTCTCCTTGCATGTTAAGCCACACTAGAAGGTAAGGCCCATGCCGGGAATGTAGTATGTTAGGATCTTTGTTACCAGCAGGAAGAAACCAACGGTGAATCTGTTCTAAGAGCCAAGAGGAACTCCGCCTGCAGTGGACATCTTTCGCCTCCAGTGCACAGTGTCCACACCGCGGGTCCTCTCCCACCACGCTATTAGGCTTTCCAGGCTCTCGATGTTCCCCGTTTCCCTGGATCTGAGCGGACTCTCGCGGAGCCACCGCCCCATCTCTTGTTTCCTCCGCCCGCGATCCCGGCGGTGTGAACAGCTACTGCTCGTAGTTAAATAGCCCAGAGTCTCAGCCCCAATAGGACACTTGTATAGGCTGAAAAGACTTTTATTCCTCCCCAAACCAGAAAACACGTATGTCTCGCAGGGTGCTGAAAATTCTGACGGCACCATGTGCTCAGGGCGGTGCTGCCCGTCCGCTGCCCGTCCGCTGCCCGTCCGACATACAGGCTGCTAATACGGCCGCTATAGGCCGGGCCCCGACTCCGCCCCAGAGGACAGCTCCTGGCCCCACCTATCCGCCCCTGGAACGCACGCCCCTTAGACCCGCCCCCTCCACCTGCACGCCACCCCTTGGCCTGGTCCACTCTCCCGCTCCCGGCTCGCACCACACGGTCCTCGTCCCTCCCATCTCGCTGAAAGCCCTTGTCCCACTCCGAGGTTAGCCTGCACCGCTCCGCCCACTCCGCGTCTAGCCCCGCCCACCCGGGCCTTGCTTAGGACTCTATCCCACGGAGGTGTGCAGCACTACCCGTTCTGGCTCCGCTCAACCCAGGGAAGCACCTTCTTCCTCTCACGAAGTTTACCTGCATCGCCCCCCTCTCTCCCCGCACACGTTCTTGTTCTCACACCTACCTTGCTCAATACCGTCCTCTTCTCCTCGCGAGGTTTGCCTGCGCTGCCCCCGCAGCTGGAGGACGAAGCCAGCAGCGCCCCGGGCTCTCGCTGCGGCGACTCCCGGCGGAACTGAACTAACACAGACGACGGCTTCTCCCTCCGGCTCTGACCCCGCGCAGCAACGGCCGCCCTAGGGCCAGCGACACCCTCCTTTTCCGAGCGCATTCCGCACCCGCCGCGGAGTCGCCGCCGCGGAGTCGCCGCCGCTTCCCGCCGGGGCCTAAACGTCGCGAGAACTGGAACACCACCGCCCCTCCTGTCACCCCCACCTCCTCGGTTCAGGCGCCGTCCGCCCCTTTCCCACTCCCCACCCCGGTCCTTGTTACCTAAGGCCAGCTGCCCGGCTCCTGGCTTACGACCTCTGTTGCCGCCCCTCGCACCGGGTGGGAGACACCCAGGGGGCAGGGGACATGCAGCGTGGCCGGGATCCCGAGCCTAGAGTCTGGGGAACCGGCCGCCGGGTCGAGCCTTGGACCGGACACCTTCGACCAGCGGCCTGTTAATATGTGGTCATCGTGAAGCAGCGGCCAGGGCTGGGCGAGATGGTGAGACTACCGGCGCTCTCCGGCAGCCGGGAGGATCTGGGGTCGCCGGACGTGTGGAAAGGCTTTCCCGTTAGCCGATCAGCCATCAGCGGGAAAATCAGCACCAGAAGACGTTTCGCTCAAACAGGAGCCTTTAGTAAGGTTCTGAAGGGCCGAATTTGTTTCCCACTGAGAATACCGGGCTCTTTAGTTAAACATTCCTGAGAATTAGACTCACTTGCTTAATAAACTATTTACAGCTATTTATTCTTTTCCAAGGAAATCTGAAAGTTTCAACAGAATAGCAATTGTATTTAAGAAATATCAACCGATTAACGAAACAGCACAAATCAGACGGAATAGAATAAATGCACTAGAGTTGAGAGCAGAAATTGGTCTGCATAGAAGGTTCATTTCAGCTGTCCTTGGGCATTCAGGCGTCAACGCTGGCTACTAGTACAGGTTGGATTAGACTAATAGCAGAACCCACAAAATGGCATAAGGTTTTCGAATGTAATTTTTACTCAACTTTTGGGGGCTCTCAATGAGGCAGGAACCAAGCCAAGTTCACATTTGTATATGTGTGTGTGTAGATATATACTTTTTTTTTTTTTTTTACTAACATACAGGCAGTAACACTTTTGATGAGAATAATTTATATATGGAAGTTCGTTTTTTAATGCCACATTTTTAAAATAATTTCTCATAGTTTTTCTTTATGCATGTTAGCTATACTTTTCATTCATAGCACCTTTGTCCAAAGAACTTCAAGTAGAAACAAAAATAGAAACCAGCGAATGGAGTAACTGAGGCAAGAGATGATAGGAGCTGCTGGCAGGTACTGGAAGGAAATCCAGGCTTGACTCAATCCAGCACTTCATTCTTGAAACACTACTTGTGTAACACACTGGAAATGTGGCATATTAGTGTGGAAAGACTCAAAGGGTGGTTTAAAAACTTAGTTCTCTAAACCCCCACAAAGGGGGTCAAGAGCTGTTCTCAATATGTCATAAAGTCTAAAGGAATCCTATTAGAAACACACTTATGATAAAGTTGCACAAACTAGATCCAGTGTCCTTTTTTGTCTTAATTGAAGTCAGTATAGAAAGCTTAATGACGCTGATTAAAAAGTTCTGACGGACTTATTCGTGATAAAAAAAAAAAAAAGGAAAATGGCTGCTAGATAAAATCTTTTAATTTATAGTGAGAGTGGGAGGTCGGGGCAGAGATCTGATGGTGAAAAATGTAGAAACCATTTATTTGAAAATTTTGAATGTTTCAACAGTCTTTAGTTTAGAACATATATTTGGAATATCTTTAAAAATGACTGCTCTCAATCTATTTGCAGGTCTTCCTTCTCTAATTTCTAAACATTATTCAGATTAAACAATCACCTAACTCAATATCTAACTTTAGCTCTTTAGTGATGTTTCTAGATGGGGTAATAAAAAAGATTCTTAATCTCACACGTCACATCTAATCTATTGAAACACTCTTGTTCCAAGGAAATTGTTTTATTACTCAGCCGAAAACACCAAGATTATCAGAAGGAGAAAAGATCTGTCCTCGGCTTCTCAAAAAGCCCGTCGTGCACAATGCCTTGTGATATTTCTTGTGTCCATATTTTGCTCCTAACCCTATGAAGCCATGGCTTATGCATGAAGCCCTAACAGCCCAACTGAATACCCTTGAAGCCAACGGGTCTTCATTTGAGATCCCAGGATCTTGAGCACACCTCCAGGTACTAGTTACATTATACTCAATGTTTGAAGCATGCTCCTTACAACCCAAAACGTTGATGTCACTTAAGCAGGAACTACGTTTTTATTCAACTCTGTATGCCCAGCCCCGGCCTGTATCTGACAACACCACACACACACACACACACACACACACACACACACACGATTGGTGGATGTATATTTCTTGTTATCCAGCCAGCCAAATGCCCAAATGTGGCTTTTGTTCCCCTATGAGTAAGAGGCACTAGTCAGTTTTTAAAGACTCCTGATTCGGTACTTCCTGTTATAAATTTCTGAAATGTTCTCCAAAAAGTGACAGAATTTTAGAATTCAGGTTTGTCTGATGAAATTATCCTTTAAGTAAAATCTTGTAATACAGATTTGAAGATACAGTAAGTGAAATACACTTTTAAAATAGCTTATGATTTTACATGAAAAAAATAAATATATTAAAAAAATCTAGCTTCCTACACATTACCCAACCTGTTAAAATGTTTTGTTTTACATACGTGCAGAAACAAAGCAGTAATAAATTATCTCCAATGTCAGAGTGAATATAGTAGGTAACTTCACTCCATGTATGAATGTGGTCCTTGGGTAAATGCCCATTATAGGAAAGGAAATGCTTACTTGGAAACACAGGCCCGACTGGTGGATGACAGCGACTTAAGGTAGATGGTGACCATAACATTCCTGTTTTCCTTTGAAGATGACAGCATGGTCACTTTAAAACTGGCAATAAGGATGAATTTTTAGTAATCTAGGCATCATTAGATCTAGATAATTAGGTATTAACAAAAACAAATACTCAGCAGTACAATTACACGTTACTGTTTTTGATACTCTCTGAAGTCTAAACATCAGTATTAATCTGTTGCTGAGCTGAAAAGCGGCCGAGTCAAATGTCTTGAAGCTTTTACCTTTTGTGTCTTAAAGCACTGTCAATATGGTAATGGTTGACTTGTTAGTTCACTTTTCCAGAAAACTTAAGTCATACCACCTGATCAATGAAGACACTAAATAAGTAATATTTTGTTCTAGTGGTCAAAATAAATGTAAAAAAGCATTAATAGAATATCTTCATTTTCATTTAAAAATGATTATTTTACATCGTCATTTGATTTTGAAGCCTCAGCTAAAGAGAATGGAAACATAAACACAGGCACATGTGATACCTGCGAGTAAGAGATAGAAGAGCCATTAAAAAAATCAAAACTCAACACACTATTTGCGTCTAAATAGCAGGAGACAACTCGTGGTCTTTTATGTACATTATTGACATTCCCTGTGATGAGCTGAGCTAAGAGAATGGGGTCTGGATGCCTCACTAGCTGTGCTCAGATTCCTCACCTGTTAAAAAAGCCTTGGTAGTGGGGGCCTCTTGAAATGAAAGCTAATATTTTTCTGACTTGTATATTATATATATTTTTTTCACCTTAGCTATTGTATTTTTACCTTGAGGAGGCAGAAATAGATGTGATACATTTTAGGTTAATACAAAAAGTTTTTAAGTTTAAAGGAATATTCCCATGTGCCTGGAAAACTCATTTCTGTATCTTATTTGTTAATGAAGCTGTGAATAAATGTCTTGGAATACAACATTTTCTATGAAAAAGTAGGATAATGTGCCTGCTAAAGTCAGGATGAAAGCGTGAATTTCAAAAAAAAATGAAGCATATACTTTTATATCTTTATCAGAATGACTAAGGAAAGAGAAGTTCTCTCTATGTAGTTATCGCCTATGAATCAGATTTTCTTTTGCTAATTTCAGTAAAGTAAAAAAAAGTTTAAAGATTAGAGATTTGGTAAAATTTTTGTATAAACTTCGAAAAATGTAAGTTTAAGACAAAAGGTTTAATATGTCTTTCACAAAATTAGTCAATTGCCACTGTGCAAAACTGCATGAGAACTTTATTTCTTGACCCCAACAAATTTGGCATATCATTTCAGTCTAAATAGTTATCTAACTATGGCATATTAAATTACAAATAATTACTCATTATTACCTGCTTATTTCACATGGATTCAGTTTTCAATCTTATTCCTATATAAGAAAAGTGCAAATAATGCTAAAATGATGGAATAAAAACAGTCCGAGAGAGCTTATAACATTTACCAACAGTTAAAGGGATATGTCATCAAGTTAGTATGTGAGAAAGTAGGTAAAATTCAAACTCATCTCATCTTCTACACACAAGGATGTATACATGATAGAACATAGTGGACCACATTTATTTTATAGAACAAAATTATAAGTAGTGGCAACATCAGTTACATGCTTACTGGTTAGTTGAGTTTGTTAGCATAAATACAATTATGACTTTTGAATGTTTTAATTAATTTTGATAAGTATTGTAGACAATTTTATATGACTCTCAACATTTATCACAATAATAGCAAATGATCTAGTTATAGTTTTAATATATAGGAATGACATCACAGAAAATGGCAGAGAAGATAGCTCCAGGGGTCAGTCTCTCCAACAAAACAACCATTAAGATGCAAAAACTATCAGAATCAACCTCCGGAACTCTGGAAGCTGATCAAGTTCAAGGAGCTCTTGACGATGGAAAAACTGTATATATTTGGTAAAGGGTGGTGCTCATGCACGTGAACCACCAACTATTCCTTGCTCTGCCATGGCTTGCATTCCTGGACTGACTAGCTAGTTCTAAGATTAACAGAGAGAAGCTTGTCCTCCAAGAATTTGGAGTTGTATATCTAGTTGTCTGGTGGTTCCGAGGGAGCAGCATAGACATTTGCCTTCAACCTGATTCATAGACATTTGAATCAACCTTTCTTTGACCACTTCAAGCTGCAGCAATTTCCCTGGCAGCATCCATCAGAAGATTTAGAGACATACACAAGTTTCAAAAAAGATTCCGACATTTAAAGAAATCTCTGTCAGGTCATAGGCTGACTGAAGAGACAACAGAACAGGAACTTCAGTGATTACACACAAAGAATACATACT